CCAAAGAATTTACAAAAAAAAAAGCGTTTTCACTTTTTAAAGCTTTTTTTCAGAAGGCAGGGCGAGGATTTTTAAATTATTTTTCAAAGACCAAGGCGAGGATTTTTAAAGAACTTTTCAATAGACCAGAGGCGTGTATTTTTTCATAATCCATAGGCGTAGATTTTATATTTTTCATTTTTAAATAGTTTCTCAGATGTGCTGATTTTTTAAAATTTTTTAGACCATAGTCGAGGCTTTTTTTAAATATTTTCAGAAACCATAGGCGTGGTTTTTAAGGCTGTTTTAAATTAATAAAAAAAATTTACTCCATTGGCGAGGATTTTCTAATATAATTTTCAGAGACCATAGGCGTGTTTTTTTTTAAGATCTGTTCAAATTAATATTTTTTTCAAATAGCAATGGTGAGGATTTTTAAAATTGAAAGGCGTCCCTAAAATAGACCAACATTTATCATTCAAAATACTAAATTACAAACAATTTGGCAAGACGTCCATATCAAAACGTTATATATTTCAAATTTGGACACTTTACAACAGTATACATGTATATTATTCTGGGTCACGCTTTACAAATAACATGGGGTCAAAGTCAAAATTCCATACTTATACCCTCAGTTCTATGGCTAATGTTAATATATAAAAGAGCTTAGTGTTAAGTAAGTGACTGACTGACTGATTATCGTCCAGACGAAGCGGCTGAAGCTAGAAGCTTGGTTTTTGGATATTCGAACAAGAAAGGTACGAAAAGTACTAAAATGTACCAAATACGGTACCCTTTGTATTATGCAAACGGGAAGAGCTGGAATTCTGAAATTTGGAAAGTGGTTCACTGATAGAAAGTTAGATTTTTGGAAAATCGACGTATAAGTGTAGGAAAATTACTAAACTCGACTAAATTGAATTCTAATTGTATATATATATATATTGAATATGTGTGTACGGCAATAACTAAAAGGCTCTTTATTTGTAAGTATTTGGATTTGGGCGAACGGAGAGAGCTGGAAACCTAAAATTTGGAATAACAGTTGCTGTTGGAACATATAATTGAGATATCGATGCATAGTAGGGGAGACTTGGGCACCTTCGGCAATGGCGTTTTTGATATGAAGCTCTCATTGTTCATCACTAACTTTGACCCATAGGTACCGAATATCAAAGTTTGAAATGTCTGAATAATAAGCTTATTTAAATGCATGGGTTTTTGTTATACCCTCAGCCTTTAGGCAAATGAGGGTACATTCACTATGACACAGTGAAATGTACCTAATCGAAATATTGGTTTTAGACCCTATGTTTCTTTGGACCAAATCCGTTTCAGAAAATTTGGAGTCGATTTACGTCCGTTGTCTGTCTATCTGGCTGGTGCGCACGATAAATCTTGAAAGGAATAATCGATTTCATCCAAATTTTGCACATCTTAATATTTCTTCCAAACTTAGTTTAAGTTCGAAGATTGGGAATATCGGTCCACTCCTTCTGGTACCTCCCCCCAAAATGGTCAAAATTGTGCAAAAAATAAATTTTATAATAACATGCAAACAAAAAGGTTCAAAATTTTCAAAATATAAAAATCCAATATCAGACGAATTTAATGTCCGATTTGAACCAATCTTTGCACAACCTATTATCTTTACAATGATCAAATTTGAAGATAGGACCCATTGGTCCACTTTTTCTCGTACCTCCCCCACAAAATGGTCAAAATTGTGCTAAAAATAATTTTATATAATTTTTTAGTAACATGCAAACGGACAAACTTTGTACAACATATTATCTTTACCAAGCCTAGATCAAGTTTAAAAATGGGACCCATTTGTCCACACCTTCGGGTACCGCCCCCACAAAGAGTAAAAATTTTCAATATATAAAAATCCAACATCAGGCGAATGTAATGTTCGATTTGAGCCAAACTTTGCACAACCTATTATCTTTACTAAGACTATATCAAGTCCGAAGTTGGGACCCGTCTGTCCTCTCCCCTGGTATCTCCCTGAAAAAGGGTCTCTATTATATAATCTTGTACATTTTACTTGAATATCCGAATTGATCAACATTAAATCTGAAACATCTTTGATAAAAAAACATATTCGTTATATAAAACGAATAATAGAACCTGTGTGTAACTCCGAGGACTATCTCCGCAAACCATATGGTGAGGGTATATCTCTCGGCAACGTCGTCTAACATTTTTTTACTTGTTTTACAGATAGTTTGTAATATTTCCATTCCATTTTGTAAATGTTTTTCATAATTTAAGGCTGTATTATTAAAAAGTCGTTAATTACAATGTTTATTCTTATACAAATAATTAGAAGTATAATATTTTTGGAAGATTAATAAAAAAAAAATCAAAATAACTGTAGAAAGTACCCTCGCAGTAGATTCGGCATTTTAAAGTGGGTCACATTCGGCCATATACAGATAATGCTATATTATTTTCTTAAAATTTTTTGAGTTAGTCGTTAAAAATAATCCTTTAATAATTACCACCTGATAGTGGTAACATTTAACCCGGGGCCGAAGCACATTCGGAGAATTTGACTTTTTTACAGTTTTGCAAAAACTAATACTAATTTAAAATATGTTTTTGGTACTAGTTTTTATAATGAAGTATCAGAGAGGGCAATAATCGGTCATAAAGTGTTTATATCTGTTGACTAAGTACTGCAACATAAAGGTCTAAAAAAGTGCCAAATGGTCTCCCCTACTTATGTGTATTAAATGGTACTATATTTGGTACAACTTGACTCCAGAATTTTTAAATTAAAATTACTGTTGATGTGTAGGATTGAGGTAGTTTATAAGATTCTTAATTACAGAGACAAAAAGTACTAAATGGTGCCAAATATTTTTCCAATTGTTTTTTGTGGGAACGGATGGGGCTGGAACTTTTGGGATGTATGTATGAATTACAGGATTAAGGTAGTATTGGAACTTCGTACTTATGGATACGAAAAACACTAAATGTTGCTAAATATGATACAATTTGTTTTGTGTAAACGGACAGAGTGGGAATCCTAAAATTTGGTATTAAAAATTGCTGTTGAAGTGTAGGGGTTCGACATGTTGGTAGTTCTAAAAATTCGTAGTTATGTGTACTAAATGTTACTAAATTTGTTACAATTTAGATTTCAGTGAACGGATAGAGATGGAAAACTTATATTTTGAATGAAAATTACTGCTAGATTACAGGATTGTGGTGTGTTAGAGATTCGAACTTATAAGTACAAAAAGTACTAAATGGTACTAAATGTGGTACAATTTGGACTTTGATAGAACTGGAATCTGGAAAGTTGCAACTAATATTACTGGAATATGTGTATGAAAAGTACAAAATGGTACCAAATCTGCTGGAATTATAAATTTGGACTTTACTATTTGAAAGCAGGAATGAGTAGGTTTTGGTACTCATCTTTATTATTAGATGTAGGAATAGAGGTGGAATTCGGAATTATAGTACAACAAATTATACAATATTCACGATTTTCATATAAAATATTAGTTATTTATTTGGTATTCCATTTCCGCATAGGAAGTAGCGGGAAACTGACTGACAATTTCATATTAGTCCATATTTTAGGTATTTTGTAATTAAGGCATCTCAAATTTTTGGTTTGAACAATTCAATTCTGGCAACGAAAATTATGTTCGGGAATAAATATAAGTTATTGCGTGCCATTGGCCTGTCAAAAAAGTGTCATTGGCCCGTAAAAAGTGCTGGATTAAGCCGATATGTGTATACCTCTCCGAATTAACCGTTTTACGTTTTAAACTTTATTCTTTAAAGTTATATATTTTTTTAAAAAGTAAAAAAGTGTCAGCCGGTGTTGCCGACAGATATATATATATGTATATACCCTTAGCCTATGGTTTGAACAATTTGACCCCTTGTGTAGGAAGTACCAAACGGAGTGGACCAATTAGTCCTATATTCAGATTTGATCAAGGCTTGGACACTCCATTCGCCTGATATTGGATTTATAAATATTGAGCATTTTGACCAGCCGGCCAGACACTCTAAATTGTCTGAAACAGATGTGGTCAAAAGAAACATTTCGATGAGGCACATTTTTGCCGTATCAAATAATCTTAAAACTTCCAATTAAACAAAAAAATTGAAAGTAAATATTAAATTCGTATTAGTACCAGGCCATTGAATCATTTACGGAAATACATCGGCTTCTTTTTTTTAATATTTTTTTTTGTCTTATATTAATCTACTTTTTATATTTTGTTTAAAAACTAAATTAAAATATATAATTATAATGCGTGTTTATTTTTATAAAATTTGTCATAGGTTATTTGCAAAAAAAAAAAAAAAAAAAATTAAACAAAAACATAAAAATTCCAAATAAATGATTTGTGGACAAGCGTAACAACTAATCATGATTAGCGGCGGCAATATCACAAATTTTGAAAAACAGGCAGGCAGCCAGATAGAGATTATGGTTTAATGACATTTCAAATATTTGAGAGATCTTTCGTCAGAATTAAAATCAAAAAATCACTATTAACCCCTTCTAAAGAAATACAAAAACAATTCCAAATTTGCCTACAAACAAATTGAGTTAAGTTCGGCCGGCACCCTTAGCGCCAATTGAGTTGTATTCAAATGAAGTGAGTTGATTTGATAGGCAGCAACAACAACAAATATATGCAAACAACAACAACAACAACGAAAAAACGACTCAAAAATTTGTCAACCCAAAACAATGCCGTCACAATAGAATTCGTATAAGAAAACACCTAAACGACGACGACGACAACGAAAGATATGGCCAAACATAAACAGATCTAGATTTGCATTAAAATTAGTTTGAAAACCGATAGCGCCAAGAAAAAATTCGCATTCGAATAAATACTTATGCACCAACTGGCAGAAGACACAGTGCAATCGAAACAGTTCAGGAATACAGACACTCAACGGAAGACGGTGTTACAAAACAGAAAAAGAATAAGAACGAGGAAGAATCAGAGAAAAAAATCGGAATTACAAAAATGAAAACCTTTGCCTTAGTTGCCCTTAGCCTGATGGCTGTTGCCACAGCTGCTCCCCAATTTGGTGGCTATGGATATCAAGCCCAACCTAGTGCTCCCGTTGTCAGCACTGGCTATCAGGGTGGTGAGAAATATTTACCTCCCGCCAGCACCACTCCCGCTCCCATTGTACGCAAACAATTCTATTTGGTATCGGCTCCCGAAGATAATGACGGACAACCTAAACACAAACACTTAGTTTTGGGCCGCCCACAAAAGAACTATCGTGTTGTGTTCATTAAGGCTCCAGGTTCGGATAATGCCAACGTGAAATACTCTGCCGAATATGCTCCACAAGAAGAGAAGACTGTCATCTATGTGCTCAGCAAGAAGGAGAATGAATTGAATGCCGGTGATATTGCCACACCCGCCCCCACAGAGGCCAGCAAACCTGAGGTATTCTTCATCAAGTACAAGACACCAGAGGAAGCTGAGGCTGCCCAACGTGAAATTCAAAGTAAGTTATCAAATACCCCTCTTAATCTTTCAATTATTTTTAAAAACAATTTTTTAAATTCGCTTCTTCCTCCTCTCAGACGAATACGACAAATTGGGTGGCACCAACGAATTCTCCGATGAAGGTGTTGCTCCTCTCACTTCAGTTGTTGGTGCTTTAGATGGCCTCACCCCTGATGGTGCCTACAATTATCAACCCATTGCTCCCAGCTCTTCGGAAAAATCCGCCATCAGCCAATATTTGCCTCCTATCACTAAATAGGTGTCGTTCGAAAAAATATTGAGCTGTTGTTGATGTGATTTTAGGTTTAGAAGTTCCTTGTTTTATTTTTTGTTGAATATTACGTTATTTGAATTGTTTTTTATTGTTATATACTCGAAATATATAATTTGTTAATATGTAAAAGAAATTTTTGATTTTTTTCATTTAAAGAGAACGATTTTTGTAGGACAAAAGCTCTGAATAATAAATAGTTCCCGAATAGTTAAACTATTAATACAGAACCCGACAGCATCTTAAATCAAGTGATATTCCAGCTATAATGTTTTCCAATGCTAAATATATTTGACGGTAAGTCTGTATTGAGATTTTACACAAGCACCAGTACGGATTATCGGATTACCGAAACTTCTGAAGAAGGTGGTAAGTTTTGACATTTATATTGGAAGGTTTCAAATTTATTAGCACAAACGTCCTCAATATGGTCTGACGTACGACCATGTGTTGTGTTGTTTAAAGTGCATTAAAAAAATCAATTTGCTACATAAAATGGAAGTAACTTGTGAAATTTGGTAGCGGATTTTCGACAATTGTGAATAATAGAAAGTTTGAACTTTTTCAACATAAACCTACTCAATACGGTTTGACGTACAACCATGTGTTGTGTTGTATACAGTGATTAGAAAAAATCAATTCGCCAAATAGGTAGTCCAAAAATGGACCACAGAGCATGATGCCGTGTGTATATCGGACTTTCGACAATTGTGAACAAAAGCGGAAGTATAGATAATTCCACTATTAATGTTTACATTTGTTCAAAGGTATGACGTATGACGTCCATAAGGTATTACGCACGAACATGTGTTGTGTTGTTTACTATGTTTCGAAAAAATATAAAAATTAAATAGAATAAAATCATCAACATTTTCGTGGGATAATTTTGAACTTCTTTCGACGTGGATTATCAGCATGCATAAACTTAAATATTGGAATTCCGATCAAGCATAGCGAAACCGGATCTAATGAATTTAATCTCTCAAACGGCAAAAACGGCACAGAACATTGATGCTGTTTATGAATAACGGAATTTCGACACTTGTAAACAAAGTCGGAAGTGTAGACATTTCAATTGGAAAGTTTGCATTTTTTTTAAATAAACGTGCTCAGTACGTACAATCATGTGTTGTGTTGTAGTTAGTTCGTGAACGTTTTGTGCTTTCATTTTTTACACCTTTCTTCGTGTCAATGAACTTGAATATCGATTATAAAAACGCCGTTAAGTTTGTAGGAAGATTTTCAACCCAATGAGACGTCAAGATATCAAATTACAATTAATTTGTTCGGGTGGTACTGTTAAACGGTTCCAAAATGTGAACCGATACATCCCATTTTTAATAAATCCTAGCAATTTATGTGAACATTTTCAAACACTTTTTAAATATTGTGAGTTGTATCGTGATTTCGACAGGCATGGCTAAGTCGACATAGAATTTTATTCGCTTCAAGTATATTTTTATTTATTTGAGGGTATACATATCGAGGTGCTTCAAAAGATTTCGTCAAAAATGACGAATTGTGGTTCTGTGCGTATGAGCCCGAAACAAAACAACAATCGATCGTGTGGCTTTTCGAAGTAGGACAAAAGTGTCACCTGTTTATAGGCAAAACTGCTCCTCTTGAGCAACGCACACAATCAATTCTGAATTTGCTTGCCTAAAGTCTTCGGAGAAATTTGAGAAACAAATAAGTGTAGAATTGATAGGTCATCGGCGCTGCAACCCCTACCTGGCAACCAATGACGCATGAAGAAAAGAAAATGTATTTACAAAAGCAGAAGTTACTGTTAACGTGTTCAAAAAATGCCATGTTTTGGAAGTTCATAGTCGAAGTGTAAAACCTGATTCTGCGATTGGTTTAAACGCATAAGTAGTATTGGAGAATATTTAAAAAGAAATAAAGTAAAACAATTGTTGATAATAAATATTTGTGTTTTAATCATAAAGCCAGAAATATATATATATATAGTAGCTTTCGGGTGAACTAAAATTAGGCCTGTGTTGATATTATCTCTAAGAAGGATGATATTTTCTCTAAGAGAAGAACACAAAATGGATATTTTTAACAATTTAAACTGACAGTTTTTAACAATTTAAAAACTTTGTCCACAGTCTCTGCCCTAAAAAGGAAGTAGACGGAACAATTTATATCCACTTACCACAAAACATTACCACTGAAATAGAACATCTTACCTAAAAGAAGAAGAAAAATATTATTAATAAATTTTATTAATACGAGATATAGTTTTAAAGTATATTTCATATGAAGGGCCATATATTATAATTTGCAAATAGATTATAAATTAAATCATTTCGAAGCTGTCGTACGTATCGGATAACAAAACAGATGCACGGATATTTCTATTTCGACTCCAAATGGCCTGAAACGGATTTGACCTAAAGCCACTTGATGCCTTAAAACGTTATTTCGATAAGGTACTTTGACAATATTAAAGTGTACGTTCCATGAATTTAGCTCACTCATTGCAACTACTCCTACGCCATTTGGCAATTCAAATGTTATCTATCGATCGACGTTTTGGTATGGCCTCCTCAAATTGTCAAAAATTAGGGGTACAAATCGAGGACAGATATTGATAATTTTTTGTGGGAAGATTCGACACCCAATAAGAAACAAAAATATCATATGAGAACCAATTCAATTGAAAAACGCACAAAGAAATCACAAAATATAGAATAATTGAGGTCACGTAATATGAAGGCTACTACGAAACTTGGCCCAATATTGATACTTTTTGTAGGGAAATTCTTTATTCAATGAGAGTCTCAAATATAAAATTACATCCAATTCTTTGGAAGATCCTTCGAAAATTCCGAATATTTAGAATAACTTGAGAATAACGCAGAATAACTTTTTTGTGGGAAAGGGTACTACACGATCTAAATTCCAAAATACAATCAACTCGGTTTTTTTTTTTTTAATTTATGGTATTTTTGGATTCATCCCAAAAAATGCAATTTTTCTATGTTTTTGATGTCAGAACATCTGTAAACAAGTAAAAAACCTTAGAATTTCGGGTCGATGACAAAAAATGCACATACATCCAAAAATGTCGGTGAATATATTTATTAGATTACAGCCACTTCGGTACGTACTTAGCACGGAACTTTTATGTGGGAGATATGTCCAAACATAGACCTATGTAGAAATTGTCCGCATAAATATGTTCAAAGTTTCGAAAATTGGGAGGTAATTTAATATGTAGAATATGTGCAAACCTTGACGTAAATACCGAAAATGGGGTGGTACTGTTATATGATAGCTATATTCATATTTTTGAAGGAAGGTTTGACATCCCAGTAGAATAAAAGCTAAAAATTATATATTTGGTTGAAAAACGAGCATGATGTCCCCAAAATACCGAATAATGCGTTTTACCGCTCTCTGGTTTGAACCCCGACATATGGGTCAATATTGATAATTCCATGGAGAACCCAAAATACTAAATTACAGCTAAATATGTTGAAAACTTTACCCAAAATTTTCAAATATAAATAAAATAAACCGATCTATCCCATTTTTAATACCAAACATCCTACTGCAAACTAGACATGTGTGTCCGTTCGTTCATTCGTCTTTCTATTATATTTTGTAAACGCAGCATAGGCCACAGTTATGAACCAATCATTTTGAAATTTTTCATTTAGATTAACTTCAGACCAAGACAGCATCTATTGTTTTTTTGATAATAATTTAGTAGATGAAACAGTCCAAAAATTTTATTTTTGAATTTTGTCTAGTCGGGTCAAATGAACCAAGACACAGTTGACAGTATATCCAATAGAAATGACTGGCCTTTAAATGTATACAAATTATACTACTGTGGGAGTTATACGTAAATATTTACAGGGTTCTATCTGTTCTGACTACGTTTAGTATTACCATTAACATACTAGAGGGCGGAAATGTCGTGCTGATCTCTTTAAAATTTTACACGAAGTTCCGGTTATGCTCAAGGACGACGTCTATAAATTTTGGTGACGATCAGAAGATATTTAGGTTATTAAATGCATCGAACATTTTATTTTTGTCAGAATTTACTGTAAGCCCAACATCACAAATGTTATACAGGGAAGTTTATCTGGCCAACTAACAAGAACGTATGTTTTGATAATGTTTGGTCAATACTTAGCGGGTCAAATAAACCAAAACTTTTGTGTGCATAAAATTTGAAGCTTGTTCCGTAATAATTCACTCCCGGAAAACATGATTGTGAAAATATGTCAGGATAAGAAATAGGAGCTGTTGACCTCTAATCGGTCTAAAATCGCGAAATATTGCACATACCTGGAATATTGAAAGTTAAAGTTCACCGTTAGCATTAAAAAAATATGTGTTCTGCGGGAATGTAGAATATGTAAATTGATAATTTATATTTGATATTTTCTATTCTTATTGGGTAGAAAATCCTCCATTAAAATAATATAAATATTTGACCCAAGATTCAGGGAAGCCTCCATACAAATGTACCCCCACTAGAAGGCACTTTGAGAATTTGAACCAAATTTACTAATCTAATTGTATATTTTTGGTAACCATCGGGTGGTACGTCTTCCAACCAAAAATAATCAATATCGGTCTATGTTTTGCTATAAACCCCATCTAACGGGGGGTCACGCATTATTTTCAGTATGTCCATAGTACTAGCCCAATTCTACCTACCGAAGTGTCTGTAGTTTGGTATTTCATCATCTTCTGGCAGCAATTTAACATGATATTTTTAAAAGTATAGATCAATTTTAGACATTTTGAAGATTGAACAATTTTAAATTGTTGATATTTTTGATATATGACACATTAATAAAACAGATCTTCATAACAAAAATATATTAAAGTAATATTAATATCTGCATAAAATTAAAATTAAAAAATTGTATTAGCAATTTTTTTTAAAGATAATAAATATATATATATATATATAGAATCAATTTAAATTATTCAAAAAATATGTCACCAAAATGTGA